GGAGGCAGGGTGGGGAAGGAACAGGTTTGATCAGTCTAGAGCAGGGGAGGGGATGCCCAGTTGCCCATGTCACACCACAAAGCCTGTAGGATGATCTGAGCTCCTGGGCTGAATCTTCCAGGGGCTTGGGATGCAATTCTGCAGCTCTTAAAAGGCCCCAGCCTCTGGTTTGTATTTAACAGGACAGGACTAGCACCGATCTCCACCCGACACAGCTCAGATGCTGCTAGAGGCAGACAACAAAAGTGGCAGGCGGGAGAGAGGTTTCTGCCCCCCCGCCCCTAGCTACAGTCCTTCTCACCCAGGCTGCTGGGTTTTCTGTCTAGATATAGGTGGCTTGCGTGACCCCGAGCTCCTGCTACCAGCCCACTTCCTGCAACCCCAAATACAGCCACAGTAGTCATGGCCGGCAGCAAAGCAGCTGATCTGGGGGGGGGGGGGGGTGGAAGGGAATCACAAATGTATGAGGTTTAATTTGTTCCTTTGGCTTTTTCCAGGCCCTGCCTACCACCAGCCCCAGACAGCTCGATCACACCCAGCGCCCTGGGTGGAGTTGCTCCTGAGTGGCTGCCACGTCAGGGCTCGATGGCTCCATCAATGCTGCTCTCCAGTGCCTCGGCTCATACGCAAGAGCAGCTTGGTACCCTACACGCCCCCCCCCAGCATCATCAGCCAGGGACAGGGGAAGTGTCGTCTTCATCGCACAACAGGCTGCGATGGGACTGGCTTCGCACAAGGGGGACTGGAACTGGTTACCAGCACCCGACAGCCTGTTCAGATCAGAGCTGCCCTCCCAAACATGGAGAAGGGTGCAAGGGAAACCTGGCAAGGCCAGAGACCCCTCTGAGCTCCCCCCCCTCCACCCGACGGACCAGCCACTGCTCCTGTCACCGTCCTTCGATTCAGCCCTGCAGGTAGAAGCAATCTGACCCATTCAGGGCCAGCCCAGCTGCAGGGAAATGTTGCCTGTTCCTTCCCAGGGCTGAATGCCACAGCAGCGGCCAAAAAACAGTCAGGCAGGGACTGGCACTTTGAGCGGCATCCGTACCTTAAACTGAGCTGCAGGCTCCCCAAATCTGAGGAGGGAACACTGCAGCTCCCAACGTTTGCTGGGAGATGCCTCCAGCTATTCAGAGACCATCAAGACTCATAGCACAAGAGACTTTGTCCCCAGGGTGAAGCGGTTCCTAGTCCTTTAGTGCACAGGGCCCGATTCCCAATTACCTCAAGGCTCCCTTTTTTTTTTTTTTTTTTTTTTTTTTTTACCATTCTGTTAGCATAAAAGGGCTTGGACGTGGGTAGAAATTAGGTGCCCCCTCCTGTGTCCCCAAAGTACAGTGTAAATGGGTCATTGGTATATTACCGCTGCTAACACCTGTAATCCCAGGGAAGATATCGGAAGCCTAAAACTGTTTGGACAATCACTTGCCGGCGCCAACAGGGGTGGTCTGGTTCATTTAAAAGTTTTATTCCTTTATCAAATCTCTTTCCAGAGGATTTCGCTGTACATATATGAATAAATTACTCAACAGTAACTTTATTCAGGTCATTAGAATACTCAAAACAGGGCTTTGCAAGTTACTAAAACGTCCGGGGAGCTAAACTAGAAATCAGATTTTAAAAGACCCTAAGACTTCATTCACCAGGTACTTCCCCCCCAACTCCTTTAATACAGGGAACAAGGGAGCAAAGAAAAGACTCTTTGGGAGTTTTCCAGGCTGGAATCACTAAGATTAGCTGTTTTAATTGAAGTTACAACCAATAAAACCTTAGTGTCAGGAATGTCTGTTAAATAACGGGACTAGCACCCTCCTTGTTTCAGCATTGTACAGGGATAGAAGAACAAAAAGGAAAAAAAAAAGCAATATGGGGAGGCCACCAAAATTTGGCTGAAGACACAAAGACGCAGAATGCTGGCCTGTGCGATGGTTACAGGTGTGCCAGCCTCCATGCCAGTGCTGCAGGGAGTCCATCGCACTCAACGAAACAAAGAGATTCTTGTTTGCAAAGTGTTTGCCAACCACATTTGAAGTCTAGGTGCCATCTCCTGATTCCAGACAGGTGGGTGGGCGCTAAGACAGAAACCAAATGCGAGACTTCAGCAGGAAGTAGAAGTGATAGAGACTGGCCGATAGGCACAGAGAGATAAACAGCAGGCAGCATCTACCTAGGTTTGATTACAGGAAATACTGCTGACTGCCTCAGTGAACTGAGTTCACTGCCAGCTATAACGCACCATGTGACCGGAAATACTTGAATTCAACTAGTATTTAGAGCAGATTTTTTTCTTCCTTTCACAGCATTGTGGGCTGTGGTTCGGAGGGGCGGGGACGGAGAAAAACAGACACAACATTCAGCAGCTTTTGTGCTGGTAGAGGAAAAAAAAAACGTTCAGGTCTCCCGCATAATCCACGCACGGGGAGATTTTTTGCATGGTTTTCAAACAAACTCAATACCACTTTGCTAACCAGCAGCCCCTGGAAAACAAGTAGTCGTTTCCCCTCAGCATAAGTTGCCAGCAGAGGTGGCTAGGAAAGCAAACACAAAAGATCAGCCACATCTGGAAACTGCCAACATCACTAGCACATGAGGAGCTGTGTATCCACTCAGGTACAAAGAAAAAAGGGGGGGACACTTGAAAGGCTCTTTCAATGCAAACCCCCTCCCGCTGCCTTTCGGAACGGAGCGACGGTGGAGTCTGAAACAGATGGAGGTTCTGCCTACAGTTCTGGCAGCGACTTGGAAGAGAGAAAGACGGAGGTCTGTGTACCTACAGGGCGAGAGCTCCCAACCTGGCACCAGCGGTGTTCTCTCCGGATGGGCCAGCAACTCTTTGCGACAGCAAACCTAGCTGCACGGACCAGACGTGATTGGAAGCTTCTACACCGTCGTTCAAAATAAAAAGAGCAGAGCGTTGGGTTACAGACATGGCTCGCACTAAACCCTGCTCCTGGTGGCCAGGGGAGTGCTGTATCCTCTCACCCACGCAGCAGACAGGGTTCTGTCCAGGGGCCTCGTCACTTCCCGGGGGGCCGGGAGGGATCTGACACAGCAGGTCACCTGGGCTACTACCCCCAGGGGGAGAGGTGCTAAAATCCGTATTTGGCCTGGGTCTGGCGCCGGCTGAGTTTGTTTTCGGACCACGTGTTTTTCAATTCCAGTTCTCGCTCCTTCGCCTGGGGAAGGAGGGCAGGGTTAAATTGGAACCACTGGCTGCTTGCTTCAATAGTGTTCTGGCTTTCCCTAGCCCCCAGCCAGCAAGGACTTGGGAACGGTTGTGACCAGCAGCCAGGATATGGGCGTATTTCGTAAGTCTTGACAGAGATGCTCATGGGGACATGCAGTCTCCTTTGGGGTGGAGCCTCAGCAGCTATTTAACAGCTGCACAGAAACATATTTAAGATAGGACACAGCACTGCCTTGTAGCCAAATGAAACCCGGGAATGAGAGCAGCTGAGCTGGACACTGCCGGGAGCCCCTGATCACGAAAGAAGGGCCAGAGAGGTGGTGGAATCTCCATCCCTGGAGGTTTTTAAGACCCAGCTAGACAAAGCCTTGGCTGGGATGATGTAGTTGGGACTGGTCCTGCTCTGAGCAGGGGGTTGGACTGGAAGGGACCTCAGGAGGTCACATTTAACCCTTGTTTTCTATGATTCTCACTTCACCCCTGTGCTGAGCAAGAGCTGTTGGGCCCAGGCATCGACCTGCCTACTCCCAGTATGGACATACATCTGCCCTCGATGGCTCCATGCCAACAGCAGGCAGCTCACCTGGTGAATCAGGTACGTGATCTGGTGCTTTCTCCTCTGCTGCCCAGTGGGCTGGTCTCCTTTTTTCTGTGGACAAAAGAAAAATGACTATCAGTGCCCAGACCAGAGTGATTGGCAGAAGGGCCTGCTGCTGCTTGGAGAACCTGCCCCTTCCCGTGGCCAGTGGGTAGAACACTAGGCCCTGGCGCTGATTTGAAGGGATCTGGATTTGGCTCCGTATCTCCCTTGGTAGGAATTCAGTGCTCCAGTGGATTTTATGCTGAACCCCAGGGGGAGACGGAAGGACAGTTATCTCTGTTGTACACACAGGAACAGAGATGCAGGGTACACGAAAGGACTTGCCCAATGCCCATAACCAAGCTGAAAACTGGATGCAGGTCTCCTGTCTCCCAGCCCAGAGGGCTACCCCTTCCCACCCGTACCTTGCTGAAAGACTTCATGGTCTTCTCCTCCGTTAAGGATTTGGTCAACCACTGCTGGGCGCCGCTCAGCTGATCATCTCCTTTGATGTCCACAAAATTGATCTCTTCCCTCCCTCGGTTCCGCTTACCTTGGAGACGCTTGAACTGACAGAAGAATCAACATGGATCAACACTATCTCCTGGTTCACTGAGTGAAGGACCAGACCCAAGCTGTATTCTTATGCCTGCTACTAATTTGCTGCATGATCTGGGCATTTCTCAGTCTCTGGGTATGTTTCCTCACCTGGCTTCCACTTCCTGTCAGAGATACTTAGCTCTCCCTGGGGTTTGGTACTTTTCTCTGGTCTTTACAGTAAAACTGTGCAGGGGCAACATCAGGGAGGGGAATCCAGCCTTGCTCCCCTAAGCAATCACGAAATGCAGAGATCAGGATGAATGCAACTGATTGGTGTGCTCTGTGTAACCGGCCCTGCTGCACTAAACTTCCTTCCAAAGAAATCAAAGCCACCTCCTCTGCTGGACTGGACAGCAAGGCTCCATAGCCATCAGCAGAACCCTAGTGATTTACAGCAGTTGAGAATCCAGCCCAGATTTGGTCTGCTCCCTAGCACAGAGGTATTTACGTAGATGGAGCGAATGGTGAAGAATTGGCAGTTCATGGAGCCCCTGACTTCTTACTTGGCTGCACTGCTGACTTGGAAACATTTCACTGCTGTGTTTGTCAGGCACTCATCACCATGAAAAGCAAGAATCTTTCCTGAATGGGGGGTTTCTTATGTGGACCGCAAGCCCTTAACAGGAGAAGCGGGCAGCCATGGGGATCAGACACTGCCTGCAGTGGGCTGCTAGACCTGACAAAACAATGGGCTGAGCCAGCACAGCAGGTAAGGAAGCCCTGAGTGTGGGTGCTAGTATGGTAGGCTGCCAAGCCCAGCCCATGCTCCTGCAGCCCCATGGCATCCCCAGGGGAGAAGAGAGAGCAAACACCCACCGCTTCATCATCGATGAAGGAGGAGTCACTGCCAGTCTCTTGTGGCGGTCCCTGGGCTGGCTCCATCTCCTGGTAATAGCCACTGCTGTAGTAATCCTGCCAGGAAAGGAAAGGGGTTTGGTACCACAAGGCACATGGATTCCTGTCCCAGCATCCAGATGAGACTCGGCACTGGAGCTCGAATAAGAGACTGAGAATAAGGTACCTTAGCATGCCACTTGCAGAACATAGGAGGGAGGAATAGGCTGCAATCAGACCTAGACAGGTTACAGGGGTGGGTGGATGAGAATAGGATGGGATTCAACACCAACAACTGCAAGGTGCTGCACCTGGGGAGGAACAACCAGCACCATACCTACAGGCTGGGGAACTCCCTTCTTGTCAGTACAGAGGCAGAAAAGGATCCTGGAGTCATCACTGATGCCAAGGTGAACATGGGCCAGCAGTGTGGGGATGCAGTTAGGAAGGCCAGCCACACCTTGTCATGCATCCACAGATGCATCTCAGGCAGGTCCAAGGAGGTGATCCTCCCCCTCTAGGAGGCACTGGTCAGGCTGCAGCTGGAGTACTGCGTCCAGTTCTGGGCACCGCACTTCAAGAGGGATGTGGACAACATGGAGAGGGTCCAGAGGAGGGCACTTGCATGATCTGGGGGCAGAAGGGCAGGCCCTATGAGGAGAGGCTACGGGACCTGAACCTGTTCAGCCTCCACAAGAGAAGGCAGAGGGGGGATCTAGTGGCCTGTTACAAACTAGTCAGAGGGGATCAGCAGGCACTGGGGGAGTCCCTGTTCCCCCAAACACTGCCAGGAGCAACTAGGAATAACGGTCACAAGCTGGCAGAGGGTAGATTCAGGCTAGACATCAGGAGGTGTGACTTCACGGTCAGGGCGGCTAGGATCTGGAACCAACTTCCAAGAGAAGTGGTGCTGACTCCTACCTGGGGCTCTTTAAGAGGAGGCTAGATGAACACTTTGCTGGGGTCACTTGACCCCAGTATTCTTTCCTGCCATGGCAGGGGGTCAGACTCGATGATCTGCTCAGGTCACTTCCAAACCTACAAACTATGAAACTAGGAGGGCCTCCTCCAGATGCCAACAAACCCCTTGCTCTCCCCTACCTGCCCCCTCCTCCTGTAAGGCCTGATCTATTCAGATCAACTCTCCTTGTGACTTTGGCAGCACAACAGGTGTGCGTAGCATTTTCCAGACATACTTGAGGACCTAAGGCTTCACTCAGGTTAGTCAGTGAGGCCCTGGCTTGGAATGCTGTTTTGTGTCTCCATGACCAAACCCAAGCCAATCCTGCAGATTTCCCATGCTTGGAGATACTCTTCAATGCCTGATGCTGGTGTCTACCCTACTAGGGATGTCCTTCTGGAGTGGCAAGGCCTCTAGGAATGCCCTGAGGATCCTCAGCTCCACTGAAGATGTTAAAAACCTTTTCCTCCTGCACTTAGCTTCACATGGAAAGTGCAGGGGGGTGAAGGACTAGTGCTGGGAGGGGAGACCCATGGGGAAGACAGAATGCTGCAGGAACAGAGCAGTACAGAGAGCTCTTCCCAGCACTGAACGGATGTCCCAAGGCACGATTCAGTACAACTAAGTCATGGCTATAAGCTGCTCCAGCCATTAATCTGAGGCACCTAAATCCATGTCTGTGCCCCCCCCCCAAAATAGGCACCTACCTGGTAGTAAGCACCAGTAGCATTGGCATCACTGTAGCCAGGGAACTGATTGTATGACTGGTCGCCATACTCTTCACCAGGCTTGGGTGCCCAGCTGTGCTGCGTGGAGCTTGAACCCACAGCTGTCTTGAATTCCAGAGGGGCATTTGCGGCAGCATCCTGGAACTGGGGCTCTGGTTCTGTGCCTGGGGGTGGGTCCTCCGTCACCACAGTGCCAGAGTACATGTATGCCTCCGTGCTGACCACACTGGGCTCACTCTTGTCTGACAAGGAGAAGTAATTCTCGGGCTCCACCTCTTCGTCACTGTCATCTTCTTCCTGGGTGATCTGCTTGGTCACCTGCAGGGCAGCGCTTTTGGCAGCTGCTTTGATAGCAGACGGCGAAGGGGTTGTGGCCACTGCTGGCTTGAACAGGGGTTTTGTCTTAGAGGAGGAGGTTGGGACCCTGGCCGGTTTGGACTCAGGGGCATTTTCTGTTGCTTTCCGCGTGAAAGCGTAGGGCAAAAGTACCCGATTTGTCTCTTTCACTGTGGAGTTCTTGGGTTGAGGAAGCAGAGCAGACAAACCGGAGCCCTCACCGCGACCCTGGCAGTTCCAATTAGCAGAGATGGGTCATAGAAGGGGAGATGAAAGAGGAGTGAGACAGCTTAACCCAACGCCCACCATCTCCCTTCATTCCCATTCCACCTAACCCTGTTTGGGGGCACTCCCAGTACTCAGTTCCAGTGCCTGCTGCCTTGAGCGCTTGCTGCCGAAACTGAACATTACGGGCTGCCGCACAGAGGACGCCTTGCTCTGTGAATCACCTGCTTCTGTGAACTACCGCTGATCTCCCAATAGGGTTTTGCGGATCTGTTTGTTTGAAACTCCTGGAGGAACCAGCTCGTCTTTGCAAGTTCACAGGATTTACCTAAGTATTAAAAATAATGAAAGCCAGGGATTTTAGGCCTGGCTTTCCAATGCCTTATCCATCACAGGTCACCCCTGCTGACAACAAGACAAGGCTCCTCTTTGGACTGCACTCAGGGATGGCTGGATTTTGAAGTCTGCTCTATTTGGATAATCAAGCCTCCAATGAGTTACTTCCATCTCATTGTTTTTAATGGGCACTAAAGCAAGTTCACAGATCTCAGGGACACAACTACCTGCCAGTTATTCTGCTTGCTATAACAGATCAGTTTTCACTAGCAGTGAATTCAAGGCATCATGAAACCTGTGATAACAAGTCAAGTGACTGGCTAGTACCACCCCAACCAACTGCGGTGTAGCCTGAATGTGTCATACTTGTATGACCTACAGACAGTCTGTCTCCTCTAAGAGTTTTGGGTACACATTATTGCCCAGTGGTGCCCCTCGAATCACTACTAGAGATGGAGGGGTGCTAGGTCAAGGCCAAAATTATGACAATCAAGTGTTTTTACAGGTAGCATTAGCTTGACCATTGCATAGTATAAGTCATTACCTGAAGACTATTCTTCTTCTTTGCTGGTTCATCTTCCTCGGAATCTGACTGAGAAAGAAAATCTGACCTTAGCATAGCACTTGAGACTAGGAAGAGAGAGAGAAAGAAACCAGAGGAACGAATTCATCCGTTATCAATTTGGAAGAGGTTACCACAGGGCCAAGTTTAGAACAGGCCTGGCTTTACAGTCTGAGAGCTGGAGCTGCTGACAGGGAGGCTGTACAATTCAAATTCACTCTCCCAGTCTGGCAGATTTAGGTATTATCAGGTCAAGAAAAACTGTTTTGTTAAAACCAGCCCTGGTTACTAGCAAAGCAGGTAAACAGACTGTCCACAATGGAAGCAGGACCGTGCTGCTGGCTATTATGTTTAGAGACAGTTGGAACTAGTGTGGTTGGGACACCGCCATATATAATGCATTATTAAGCTGTCAAAACTACAGCTATGCAAACAAATAAATCAGTGTTTGCATGTTAAATCTCCAAAGCTTAAGTTGGATAGATCGTTCTTATCTGTCCAGATGGGGAACAAGAAGGCATTAAATAAAGTTAAGCCTGGAATTCCAATGTTTAACTGGCACTTTAATGCTGTTATAAAGCAGGGGAGTGGGGTGGAGGGGCCAAAGCAGGAAGCAAAAAGCATAATTTAAAATTTAAGGGAGAACAATATTCAGGCAACAGATTCAAACTGTGCTTTATACCCCTCAGCTCCATGTGGACATTGCAAACAGGGTGAAAAAGGATGATGAGGGTAACAGGCCTTGCTGGGTGGTACCTTTCAACGGCCTAAGCATGGAAGGGGAAGGGCCAAACCTCAGGTGTGAGCATTTAGGCTGGGGATTAAGGATGGGCTCTTCATAGCTGTGCGAGGCTCAAAACAGCTAAGTCACAGTCCTGTTCCTGTCTTGCCACCGCACAGAGGTTTTAGCAGGCAGGAGACTCATGCCTGAGGTATTTCTATGGCCTTATGGTTTTACAGAGAGTAAGAGAGGCAGCAAATAGGAACTTAGCTAAAATAAAGGGAGTCTAGAGTTAAATCTCTATCTAATTTGTAAACTTTAAAAGTAGGAGCAAGACAGAGGAGCTCAATTCATGCGCGAGGGGAAAAGCGATCCCAATGAGGAACAAGGCGGGTTGTCACAAAAGAAAAAGGATAGAAAACAACCATTAAGTGAGACCCATTTCTCACACTCTTCTTTTTCACTGGCTCTTATTCCCCAGCATGAAAGTCTGTGATCATCTATAACAAACGTTTAAAGCTAATATATAGCATACATGGGGGGGGAGGGAAATCAGCAAACATGAGGAGAAACAGACCCCCTTCATTTGCCATCACCCCATGACAGATTTCCAAAAACCTCCTCGTTAACTGCTGTAACTGTGCTGGTATGGGCTTTATCACAAAATGCCTGTTTCGAAGCCAAACACTGAAGAAGGGAATAAGTGAATTGCAGATATGCGGAGATGGGACATGGCTAGACTGCCAGCAAGACTGATGGATCCATCATGCTGCCCAATGGATGTGGCAGATAGAAATGAAGGGGCTTATGACATAGGATATGAAAAGACGGAGAGAATGGAGCCCTTGCAAAGTGAAACCATTTACTTCCCTGCTAAACTTTGCTCTAGTGAAGGGGTTCTCAATCCCCAGGCCACAGCAGGTCAGCTGCTGGTCCACAGCATGGTCAGCTGCAGGACGGGAAGTGGCTGCAGACCGGCAAACCACGGCCCACCAGAGCCGGGTGGAGGCTGCGACTCCTTCCACAGGGCCTGCAGCAGCACACAGTTTGGTCCACCCCCCGCTCGGGGGATGAGGGTATCCTTACCTGTCTTCCACCCAGAAATTCTGGCCACCATCTCCTGTGACTGCCGGGCCATGGCTTAATAACTTTGGAAACCCCTGCTCCAGTCTAAAGCATCCCTGCAGCAGGGACAGCGATCAGCACCATTCATGAGTGGAAGGAGCCAACCTGCTGTCCAGCTAGGCTCACCAGGAGCCAGCTCTGCTGTTTTGCAACAAGATATTTTTAGCCACATTGCTGTCATTCATTGGGTACCCTAGCAGAGGGGTCCTTGGCTCTGCAGCTCATTAGGCTGGGCCAGGCATCACCACTCACCAGGCGGAAGAGTCCGTGCTCCACATGACCCTTGTGCCTGTTCCAGCGAGGTGGATCTAAATCAACACTGCTACAGCTCTCCCGAGCCGGCTGACCAACTCCACCCCAGGACTATTTACAACTTCATGCTTAGGGTCCGCCTCCTCAATACTCTCTTGCTAGCAAGCAGCTTCCTGGTCTCTCCAGTCCCTGATGATTCCTTTCAAGAAACCGTAAGTCCTTCTGGTAAAACAGTGGGGTACCTTCTCCAAGAGAAGGTAATGCTGAACGAATGTGTAGCCTGAGGAGGGCAGGCTTCATCGTAACACGTTACCCTCCCAGCATGAGCTACCTACATGTATGCCCTAGAATCAAAGATGCCGATCCCAGGGGTGCTAACTACACTGAATCATAGAAAATGAGGGTGGGAAGGGACTTTAGGAGGTCACATCTAGTCCAAACCCCTGCTCAAAGCAGGACCAGCCCCAACTAGATTAACCCAGTCAAGGCTTTGTCTAGCCAGATCTTAAAAACCTCCAAGAATGGAGACTCCATCACCACTCTGGGTAACCTGTCCCAGTGCTTCACCATCCTCCTAGTTAGGAAGTTTTTCTTAACATCAAACTTAAACTTCCCCCTTCCCTAAGGCAGGGTAGAGATGCACGTTTATATGCTAACTAAGATATAAAGAGAGAGAAGAGCTTCCACAAACCCAGGTTTATTTCATGCAATGCTGCCTAAGGCTTCTCACACAGCATCCCCTCCCTACGGGCTCCTTCCAAGGGAAAGCTGAGGTCCCTGCTGCTCTGCTCTATAAACCCCTGATGCTTTCCATAAGAACAGTCTTTTAACCCTGTGCTTGCCCAGAATGATCCTGCTCCCTCAGGACTGCACAGCAACGCATGGCAGCCTGCCAGGATCAATGCCATTGTGCTCTCTGGAGCTGGGCCTAAAAAGTCAGGGGCGCTATTAAAAAACCTACACTTTACAGACAAGCTATTAGCTAACGGTGCTGGGGGCGAGCAAAACCCTGGAGCTTTGGTGGGGGAATGGGCAGTGTAAGTGCATGGGGCAATTGGGCTAGAATGGGTGGTATATATGGATGTGATATCTGGGCTAGGAGAAATAGGTGGGGTATGTGCATGGGACACAAGGGCTAAGGTGCTGTACGTGGACAGGATACCATGGCTAGGAGGAACAAGTGGTGCATGCGTATGGCACAGCCGGGCTAGGAGCAATGTGTGGTGTACGTGCATGGGACACTGGAGCTACGAAGAACAGGTGGTATACGTGGGTGGGACACCTGGGATAGGAGGAATAGGGCAGTATATATGGATGGGGCACCTGGGTGAGGAGGAATGGGCGATATATGTGCATGGGACACGTGGGCTAAGAAGAATGGGTGGTGTGTGCACATGGGACACCCGGGCTAGGAGTACTCTTCAGCCCAAGGAAGAGAAGGGCAAGCGGGGACCTGGTAACAGCTTCCCGTTAGACTAGGGGAGGACATCAAGGGCTTGGTGAGCAACTGCTCACCAGGACACCCAAGGGAAAAAACCAGCAGTAATGGCTGCAAACTCCTGGAAGACCGATTCAGGCTCAACATTAGGAAAAACTACTTCACAAAGAGTGTGTCCAGATGGTGGAATAACCTCCCTCCAGGGGTGGTGCAACCATCTACCCTGGAAATCTTCAAGAGGCAATCACCTTGCTGGGGTCACCTGACCCCCAGTTATCTTTCCTCCTTGGTGCAGGGGACTGGACCCAATTAGCCACCAAGTCCCTTCCGGCCCCTGACAATTTACAAATCTGTGGTGCACGCGGATGGGAGGACCAGGCAGTGTACGTGCATGGGGCATCGGGGCTAAGAGGAACAGGAGGTATATACGGCCAGGACACCAGAGTGAAGAGGAATAGGGCGGTATATATGGACGGGACACAAGGCTCTGTGCTTGCCTAGTGGTGTGCCTGTCCCGAGCGCGCCCACGTCCCGATGCCCACGGCCCCCACT